TCCTTATCATCTAAAAGAGCCAGTTTGGGAAGGCAATGTTCATGACAGATGTCGAAAATTTGAATTGTCAACCAACATGACGTTGTTTCCTCCCCGCGTTTTTTTGTCAATTCCCACCCTCTAAACTGCACACTCCTCGGCCATTAAGAACTCGGCTCTCTTCCCCAACCACCGGCATCCACTACCTTCTAATTACAAAACCACCAGATTTCGATTTCTCGTTGCCAACCTTCCACACTTCGAAAGCACCACCTCCACCATCGGCATCACCACCACCATCACTAGGAGTGAGTGGGTTCATCGCTAATGGCGGAGAAGCCTCAACCTTTTGTGTTTTATACTGCGGAGTGTGTGGGGGTACCCGTGGAGTTCTGCGAGTTTGGACCCGATTTTGAGAAGTGCAAACCATGGTTGATCTAGAACTCACCGACTATGTACCCAGATCTCCTCAAAGGTTACCCGAAAAGCCAAACCTTAACCCCAACCATTTTGTATACACAAGGCGTTTCTGATTATGTTATTCTATATATATTGTTGATTGATTTTCAGAGTGCAAAAGATCCATGATTGTGCAAATTTAATATTATTATTATTTGCTGTAAAGTGTGCGTGTTTATTTAAATTCTTGATTTTACGGAGTTTTTATATGTTCTTTTTTGTTTGTTAAGGTTAATGGTATGCTGTGATATGTTCAATTATTATGTTTTCCTAATTCGATGTGCTCCTTCTCTATTCCCTTTTTGTGTGTATAAGGACGTGATGTTATATGTTCACTGATTTTATATATAGGGAGTGAGTAGATCGCTGTCCAGTTTAGTTTCTTGGACTTGAAAAAAAATGCTCTTATTTTTTCCAAATAAGAAAAAGGAGAAATCACAGTAATCATGAAAAATTGTGTAATTTAAGATTATTCTTCAATATGAAGTTTTCTTTTTCCGAGGATTTGCATCTTTTACTAAACCATTTTCTTGCTGCAAAATTTTTGTATTTTCTTCAAAATAATTAGAATCTGATTTTCAATTGAGTTATCTGGGGGGGAATTTTTATGGGT